CCCCAAAACCCCAAAACCCCAAAACCCCTCAAAATTCAAAAATAATTGAAAAAATTAAAATTAAAAATTGCGCAAGATGGACGTCTACAGCAACATCACTGCAGATGATTTGATTACGAACCAAAATACAGTGCATCCTTCATCCATGGCAGATCCTCAGGAAATATGTTTGTTCTATGAGACTGCTATTTCTCGTGAAGAAGGGTCTCATCCCCAAATCTGACTGAAACTCTACGATAATTATTACACTTGGGCATTGAAAAATCTTAAAGGAGATGATGGGGTGGAGAAGAGGTTCAAAATACTCCAGGACTTCACCCACAGATTACGCAAAGAAGAGAGTCTGTACCAAGATGACAAGTATGTCTACTACTGGGCCCACTATGCCAATTCTGTTCAAGAGATATTCGATGTCTATCATTATATGGAAATTCATAGGATCGGTCAGACTACTTACAATTATTATATAAATTATGCTAAAGATGTAGAGAAAGAACTCAGAGATTTTCGCAAAGCCGATAAGATTTATCGTACTGGTCTTGATATGATAGAAAAAGATAGGCATAAAAAGAAGTTTCAGAAAGATTATGACAGATTTGCTAAAAGAATGGAAGGGAGAATCAATGATATGGCTGAACCTTTAAGAAAGATCTCTACTTCATCATGCTCTTCTAGTAAAATTTTCAGAAAAAGAAACAGAGCACCTCTTATAGAGTCTAGGAGACGAGATGACTCAGATATAACTCCAATCAAAGCTAGTTTAATGCCTCAAAGTCAGAATTTCCTTGATCCTTGAGTGATTGGTTCTAGAGAAAAGCAGCCATCTTTCACTCAATTTCAATACAATAATGACCAATCATGACTGATTTATGTAGATTCTGACCAAAGGGACCAATTTATCCCTAAAGGCTCTATGCTTGTTGATAAGTACTACACTGAGTTAGACATTCGGAATCTTCCATATGAGATTTTCTCTGAAAGGTAGCTAATTATTCTCAAATTTTAGTAAAATCCATGAAACCAGATCTGATATGAAAAAGTCATGGGTCAGCTGAATCGATAGTTACACCACTGGGGTACCTAAACCTGACAGCCCGAAGCCCCAAGAGAGTAACGACTCAGAAGACTCTGAAGACTTAGAAGATTTAAAAGATTTAGATGAAGTCATGGTTTTCGGTGGGAAAATCAATTGGAAAAACAAGGATTCTGAAGGAAACTTATTGAGCGCTGAAGAGCTAAGGGCAGAAATGGTCTTAAGCCATTTGAAAAAGAAGTCTAATAGTAAGCCCTGATGATTCAAAATTCAATTACACTCGTGTTTAGACAAGCTAAAACCTATCTTGAAAGTCAAACGAGATTGCTCAAGTGGATGTATTAATAATGATAGTTCAGACTCAAAAACGACAAAGTCCTTCAAGTCTATCAGCAGCAGTTCAGTAAATGATTCAATGCAGAAAATTCGTCAGAGATTTAACAACAGAAATAAGCACAAATATGCTCATCAAGATAAAGAGAATGATGCTATTTCCCAAAACAGCAAGTATATCTTCAAGAAGCCAATTACTGTAAGCTACTATGTCATTTTTATAGGACTCATTACAGAAGAAATGGAGAGACAACCTAGCTTGATCTTCTAAAGAAAAATCCATTGATAGAAGCGTTAACAAAATTGTCAGCAAAATGGGAGGACTGAAACTCTCAGATTTCAGAAAATACCAACCTAAGTTTGAGGAGAAACCTGATAGGAGGGATCCTTTCAAGCCAATCAGCAACAACGTTAACTTCATGGAGAAATGCAATGAAGAATCTCAGAGCGAAGAAGAAAATGTTGGAAACACACCAATGAAGCTTTTCTAATTTCTAATTTCAGTGATATTTTGGAATTAAGGGGTTTTGGGGTTTTGGGGTTTTGGGGTTTTGGGGTTTTGGGGTTTTGGGG